AACCTGAAGAGCCAATCATAAAAGAAAACAGAAGTTACCTGCAGGCTCAGGCCTACTTCCTTGGTGACCTCAGTGCTTTGGCAAGAACTATAGGGTTTATACCAAAGGCAATAATGAATTATCAGAGATATTTTTTCCTAGGAGTCCTGGTGTGGCACTGTGGGTTCATGTGCTGGACTGCAAAGTCAGTATGAACAGCAAGGTTGGTGGTTCAAGCTCACCAGCTGCTCCTTGGAAACCCTATACAGGGTCGCTATGGATTGGAACCGACTTGACAGCACTTAACAACAACATATGTGTATATAAATATATAAATATATGAACTGATGACATTGTGGTTCAAAGTCCAGTGCTTATCCTACAGTGCCCCACCAGGATTCCATACATATATATGTGTGTGTGTAATATATATATATATATTTAAAGCTATAGAGCATAAAACAAAAGGGATGAGACTTCAGTTTGATTAGGAAATTATTACAATTGTCCAACTGACAGATTATAAATATAAGAGTGCTTGTTCTTATTTAGATTCAAAACAAATGTAAATATAAATCACTGTTGTTGTTGTTGTTAAGTGCCTATGCAAAATAGAATGAATCAATACCTAGTCCTACACCATACACATTCTGATTATTAAAGGATGTTTGCAACTGTTTCTTTTCATTTTGAGTTGTGCCATAATCAATGAAAGTCCCATAAGCTCTGTTCCATTTGCGTCATTATGGTTAACTCTAGTTTGAAGAGACAGCTCTTCCTCAGTTATATTTTGAGTGCCTTCCAACCAAAGGACCTCATCATCTGGCATTGTATCTGACAAGCTTTTCAGTGGCTAACCATTCCTAAATGGTCTGCATTTCTTTCTTCCTAGTCTGGAATCTCCATTGAAACTTGTTTACCATAGGTCACCCTGGTTGTGTTTCAAATGCTGGCAGTAGAGATTCCAGCATCACAGAAACATACAAGCCACCACAGTATGACAAGCAGACCATGGTGGAATCAGGAATTGGGAATAGTTAATTGTTCAGATTTAAGAAAGGAGGCAGGTTTTGAACTTCCAAGGGAGGAGTCCGGAAATGTGAAATCTGAGTCATCAACACAGAGTAGGTAACAATAAGGGAGTCCCAATGTGTAGAGAGCAATAATGCAACTGGCCAAAGACTGAAGCCCATGTTGTTTTGGTGAGTACTGTGGAGTCAGTTCTCACTCATATCAGCTGTGGCTTTCCAAGGAGTGGCTGGTAGGTTTGAACCACCAAACGTGTGGTTAGCAGTCTAGTGCTTATTCTACAGCATCACATCAGGACTCATAGTGACCTTACAGAAGGTTTCTGAGACCGTAAATCTTTGTGAAAGCAGAAAACTTAATCTTTCTCCCATAGAGCAGCTGGTGAGCTCGAACGGCCGACTTAGTGGTTTGCAGTCCAGTGCTTATCCTATAGAGCCACCATGGTCTCAACTGAAGCCCATAGAACCCCAATATTTAAAGGGTAGACACATTTCAAAAACCAGTACGCTGTTGTAATTATTGTTGTTAGATGCCATCGAGTTGGTTTTGACTCATAGCAACCCTCTATAGGGTTTCTGAGGACCAGATGCTGAGCTTGTATATATGTATACTAATACATATTATATATAATTAAGTGCTGTCAAGTGGATTCCAACTCAGTGACTTGAATTCAAACCTTGCAGCTCATAACAACCTTGTAGTCAAGCGCATTAGCCCACAGTGCCACACAAGAACTCTATTGTAATTATTGGGTGCCATCAAATCAATTCTGACTCAGAGAGGCCCCATATGACAGAGTAAAACTGTCACATAGGGTTTATAGGGTTTTATTTGCTGTAATGATCACCAGACCTTTCTCCTGAAGAACTACTGAGTAAGGTGGAATTATCAAACTTCTGTTAGCAGCTGAGTACTTAACTGTTTGCACAATTAGATTTTTTTATTTTTAGATGAATACATGTATTTGATCCTCAGTGTAAAATTATTTATGTTTCTATGATAGCTAATCTTCATTGGTAGTGGAATATAAAATAGCCCCAAACAGAAACAAGACCTAGCTAGGCTAACCACTCTGCCCCTATACTCGGTTACTTAGAGCAAAACAGGAAGAAAGAAGTGAGTCTCCATTCCCACCCACCTTTCCTTTCTTCCAAAACCATGCATTTCAAATTCTAACAAGGATAGTAATCTATAAGTACCTTTTTATTAGGAAAATATTTCCCCAAAACATTAATAAGTAAACTCACAAACCCAAATCTCCAAATCATAGAGTATTTAGAAAGTAATAGGATTGCTTAAATATAAATTTAATTAATTATTTCTAGTGCATGCTTGATATGTGCAAGGTCATAGTGACACTGTATAGGGTTGCCTAGGTTGCAAATCCTGTTTTTTTGTGTGTGTTTTTTTTCTGAGGAGTGGTTGGTAGATTCGAACTTCTGACCTTGTGGTTAGCAGCCCAATGTGTAACCCAGATGGAACAAATGAAGACTTATTTCCAGGAAATGAGTCTGAACTGCTATGGTGGAGTGATAGATATACCTGGCCTCACATTTTTGTCAGAGCCTGAGAACACTAAGTAATAACTGAAGTTTCAAAACCACCATGTCCTCTAGACTCATTTAGAAATTTCACACAAAGTTTTTGTTTCCACTTTTCAAGGCAAAGAGCAGAGAGTAAGAAAATTGTGCACTTTTGAATAAAACTGAACCAAGGATAGCAGCCCTGGCAAAGCTCAATTTTGGTCTTGTTCAGATTCACATTTTAGATATTAAATAAAGCATCTGAATTGCGTACCTATTTCTTTCTCACTATATGAGTCTCTATTTCTCTATGCCTTTAGGGTACACAGTGTAAATTATGCTACGTAAGAATTTAATATATTCTGTAGACACTAAACTCAATTGCAACACATTAAAATAAAAATGTAATCCAACTCATGTGTTGCTAATAAAGAAAAACATATCATTTAAAATGTCAGTAACCTCCCAAATTATACATTAACCCACAACATGTACCGCAGAACTTACAAGTATGCTGAACAACAATTACAGACCTAAGTGAATATCTGTATGTTCTTTAGAAATAGGGTTATACTGCAAAATGACTGTCAACCCCTTTTAAGTAACTAGCTCTTAGTATTTATGAGAGTAATCAAAGACAGTTTTGATACTTCAAAATAAATCTATGTATGTGTATCAATTTCTTTATAGCATAAATTATTCAAGAAAGGATACTGAAAGCCTTATAGATTCTATTATATTCATGTTCTGATAATAAATTGAAAGCTGTTTCTCAATATAAAAACACCTTTCATATACTAAGTTGAAATTTTTATGGTAGTTTGCTGTGTGGACTACAAAATATTTCAGCATTTCTTCATGCTCATGTAGAAATGCTGAACAACAGTGCCTGAATGGGAAAAGTTTAACAGAAACATGCCCTGATTTATGGTAATACACAAATATAATAGTATTCAATTGTTATTATTTATCATTTTATTTTGACTGGGGTGAGCAACTTTATAACAATGAAAATTTTATAAATAGTTTTTATACTAAGATAAAAGCCTTTTCCTATGTAGTTTTTTTGTTGTTGTTGTTGTTTTGTTTTTGTTTTTTTTAAATCCATCCTTACATTTATACAGGGGAGGGGAAAAAACTATCTTAGACTCCTTTTCTTTCCACTCCCCTCAACTACCTAAAATACACATCAGGAGATGACTGCGTTTCAGAGATAAGGAAAGCAGTACAAAGCAACAAAATGATTTCCAAGTTAACAATCATAAGGAGTAGTTTTTAAATTCTTTCTTATTTTTTGGTGGTGGAATTTCTGAAAGAATACCATTTCAATATCCTTTCAATTAAAAATAAAGGTTTCTATATATTCCATAGGAGGAACTGTTGTTAAGTGCCGTTAAGTCAACTCCAACTCAGAGCAACTCTGTATAGGTTTCTGAGGAGCAGCTGGTGGGTTTGAACTGCCAACCTTGTGGTTCACAGTCCAGTGCTGATCCTACAATGCCACACCACAAGTTCATACGGAACAGTAAATGTCAATTTATTAAAAATCAACTGAAATATACTCGTGATCCAGTAAAACATTGTTCAAGGAATATGCGTCAAATACACCATATTATACAAAGTTATCAAACTTGAATAGGCACTTAATTAGCTAAATCTACCTGCAGAGCACAAAATTAGCAGGAGTCTTTGAGTTTAATTATTTTTTTATCTCCCTCCTAAAGGCTCTAATATTTACCCATCACCCAGGAAGGGCGGTGGCCCCACAGAATTTCCAAAGCAAAAATGCACTAAAAGTACGAACAAGGAACTACAAATTTGATTTAAAACACATTCTGTGAAGACTTTGCAGAGAGTTAATATTTCAGTACAAGTCTAAGTATAATTTTGGACAATCATAAAATGAAGTCCTAGCTAAAATATTTTCACTAATTATCAAATTTTAGGAGGAAGTGAAACTTCTGGTCCCAAGAGAGGGAGTGGCTTACATGTAAGCAAAGCTATCTTATGAATGTAAATGTTTTAACGACTTATGCATGTTTTTGGTTAAAAAGGTAAAAAAAGAAAAGAAAAATGCAGCTACTTTTGTCACTAAAACAATTCCTCAGACGTGCATAAGTTCATGTCCATGTCATATTGAGGCATAAGTTGCTAATGTTGCTGTTGCAATGCCCTAGTCCCCTTTGTAAATAAAGATATATATATTATGTTTTATGTTGTAAAGTCTCCCCAACATTCAAGCCTTTTTCAGGCCAGAAACCACGTATTCTGTCACATAACAAACCAGGTCTCACTGAACTACAATACCCTTGACCATTTTACAGTGGTATTTCTCACTTCCACTAACAAACACCTCCTTTAAAAAATACATATATATATAAAAAAAAGCTTTTTCCCCCTATTTCCAACCAATGTTTCTCCAAAAGTGGAAAAAAATAATTAAAGCAATATTAATATCCTTGGACTTACCTGAAACCAAGACTTCCATGTCCAGAAAGGCAAAACCAAATGCCAAAAGTTTAAGCCACACATACATGGTCATATCTGGAAATCAGCCGTATCCTTATGAAACAGCATGCGTCCTTCTGGAAGGTAAAATAAGGGTTATCTCTGTCAAAGTTTTTCCCTGTTAAAACGGAATAAAAAATAAAAGAGCTAAATGCATACTCTTGACTGTTGTCTTATCAGACACGGAGCAATTTCCTCCTCTGTTAGCCTAAGAACAAACCACTTGCTAGCTGCATGTATGAAGTGATGATGTCAGATTCAGTTTTACCAACTTCTCCAAAAGTACAGTAAAGGGTCCTCTTTGCAGGAAGTCAAGAGAGTTGTTCAAAGACAGTGCAATGGCCTCTTACTTCCTTAATTCAAGTAATTAGAATAAATTACTAGACCTTTTTTGAAAAACATTCGCCTCAGGAAGATGCTTTTCAAACTATCCAAATACTACTACTTCACCGTATTCATTTCAACTTTCTTTTTAAAATCAGATCACTTCAAAATAATAAATAGGATTTTAACTAATAGATGACAAAGGAGATACATCATAAATATAACTAAATGGGGTTGGCAAGATGCAGAATAAGTGAATTAGGAGACTATACTCTATTTGATTCAATAACAAGACAAAAATGAATGAATGAACCGCTGCCTATTTGGCTATTTTAAGTAACCAGTATCATTTACCATTAGGACATTCACAACCTGGCACTGTGACAGTTACAGAAGGCGAATACATTTCCTATGCAAAAGCACGCTCAAGAACTCAACAGGTTTGTCCCAAATCCTTCACAGATGTCCTTGGTGGGGCTAGGAATGCAATCAGATTGTCATGTCTACTACGCTAAATCTTGCTTCAAAAATGAATGCTTCTGTGACTCAAGATATTCTTAGTGCTGTTAAAGAGGGAAAGAAGAGCTATCTTTTGCAAAAGTTAGGCTTTGCGTGTGTGTGTGATGGGGATACTAGTTTCTGAACTATTTTGGTAAATAAGACAACAAATTAATATATAATGCTTTTCATGATTCAAATGAGGCTGTAAATAAGTCCACCGATTAAGAAAAAAAAATGCTTATATGCAAAAACTATAATGCAACCAGTTATAAAATTACGTGAATTGGTATTACTATGACAGTTTCTGTATGCTTTTAGAAATGACAGTGCACACGTGTACAAAGGAATAGGTATTTGAATTATACAGAATGTTTGCTGGATTTACAGATAAATCACGTCTCTAGCTAGGAGAGTATATGTAAATAAATACTACTGTATTTACTTTTGCAGTGCTCTTGTATTTAAGTAAATAAATCTGTTGATATTTATAAATGTATGCATTTTGCTTTTAAATTGGCTGCTCTAATCTATAGGGCTGAATTTGCTCACATACCTTGTGTGAAGATGGAAACAATTCCACAGTTTAAAATCTGGATAAAATCCTTACATTAAGACGGTTGTTGTCATGATTGTTGTTGGAGCTTATTTGGGGGCTTCAGAACTATGCTTAGCACTTTATACTCACTATCTAATTTAGTACAATAATCCTTGAGATAATCAATGTGATTATTTCCCATTTTATCTGTGATGGTCTGAGACATTACGTGACTTTTTTCAAGGCCTCACAGCTAGGAGTGTGTGTGTTAGTGGTTTGAATCCAAGTATCACAGTGTCATCTTCCTTTCTTTACCTTATTTTCATCTTCCCTTTTCCTCTTCCTTTCCCCCACTGTTTGGTACTATGTCTTTTAAATAATTTTTTTTTTTCATAAAACTTTAATCCCTAAACATAAAATAATGTTTTCCTCTTTTGCACATGTATTTTTATGAAAATAAGTACTAATCTTCACGTAAGCAAGTCTTATGAAAAACTGCCATCAAAACTCATGTAATGTAAGTATTCAGCATCTTCTCTATAATTAAAATGTATTTGTGATGAAAAATGATCAAAGCATTATCTTCAAATCTCTTTAAGCAAGTATTTGTGTTCTGTTAACTTGCTATTATGGCAAAATATTTGACAAAACTAAAGGCCAGGAGGATCATGCATAATATATAATGTTTAAAAATAGAGTAAAGTGTGCATAATATGTTCTATAACAAGTTAAAAATGTGGTCATAGCATCCTTAAAGAGACATTTAAGAAGAGCTTTGTAGATAGTGGCTTTGAAGAAATAGTAAGAATTTAACAGATTCAAGTTCCTATCAGGCAGGTGGGAAAGGAGATTCTACCCAGGGAATACAGAGCAGATTGTCCGGTGAACCAAGTCTTCCAGTATCTTCAAAAACGGAGACAATGATAATTCCTAACATACAGGCTGGCAGGATGGAGGCAAGAAACATAGTCCTAGCATCTCACAGGGCAATAGAGCCCAGATCTCTTCTCACAAGTGGGCAGCATTGGGTTAAAGGCCCAGGAAGGAGTCTGGGATCACCTGGCTTTTCTCTTCTATTTCCTCGCATAATGGTAGGCATGGGTCCTTCAGACCACAGAAGTGGAAAGGCAGAAAATCGAGTGTTGTGACATATGGATGCAATTCATGCTCACTGATTCTGAGAGGGGATGGTTTGGTCACTAACAAATGGGTCTTTTTGTTAAGAACAATTGAGAGAGCCAGGAAGTAACACCAAAATTTGCAAGTGGGAAATCCTTATACTTTTTGAATAGGTAAAACACTATGATCCAAAACAATTTCAAAATTTGAATAAAAAAGTTTAAAATACTCACAGCTGATGAACTTAAACAATAGATTTCAAAAGCTGAACTTACATTTTGAATAAGATTTTCCTTTGATTAATCAAGTCACTCATCTAGATTTTTTCGGTGAGAGATAACAAAGAATATAATAAAGATAGAAACATTACATGATTTTAAGTGAAAAATCAGATGTTTTTAATAAAAGCATTCACTCATTCATTCAGTAAATATCTTGTTGTTGTTAAGTGCCATCCAGTCTGTTCTGACGCACAGCAACCCTGTATAGGGATTCTTTGAGGGAGCAGAAAATCTCACCTTTCTCTCAGAGAGTGTCTGATGGGCTTGAACAACAGATTTGCTGTTCTCAGTCCAGTGATTATTATATGTATCCACGGCATTCCCCAATAAATATCTAGTGAGCTCCTAATCAGAGCCATCACTTTATCTGACACAAACATAAAATGGTAAGTAAAAACCAGACATGCTCCTTTCCCTCGTGGTATCTATACTTTGGTAGAAGAGACAGTGAATAATGAACTAATCACTGTGACTAAGTCAAGTACACAGGAAGTACTTGATGCTATGATTAAAGACAATACTAATGGGTTTTAGCAAAATTACGAGTTCAGGGAATCTTTTCTGGTATAAAAAAAATTAAACTAGATCTGAAATAATAATAGAAGTTATATGGAAATGGGGAGAAGGAAAGAATGCTCCAAGTAGAAAGAATGATTTCTATTAAAGGCAGAGAGTGTGTTTAAGGAAGAGAAAAAATTGTCTACAGAGAAGTGGTGATGGTTGGCCACCAAGTTGGTCCGACTCATAGTTACCCTGCGTAGGGTTTCTCAGGCTGTCAATCTTTATGGGAGCAGAAAGCCTGATCTTTTTCCCACAGAGCAACTGCTAGATTTGAGCTACTGACCTTACAAAGACTGCAATTCAATGAGGTTTCAGAGGAAAGAGATAGCAGAAATCTAGACTTGCAGGTTCTAAGAAATTTATCTTTATTTTTGGAGCAATAGGAAAGGATCTGATAAACATTGTCAGTATTATGCTTTTAAAAATTATGGTAAACTACACCTGGTGTGGTGCTGTAGGATAAGCACTCAACTGCTAACCACAAGGCCGGCAGTTCAAACTTACCAGCTGCTCCTCAGAAATCCTATACAGGATAGCTTTGAGTCAGAACCAATTCAAAAGCACTTAACAAAAGAATATACACAACCTAAAACTGCCATTATAACTATTTTCAAATGCATAATATAGTAGCATTAATCATACCAACAATCTTGTTCAACCTCCACCACTATTTGTTTCCAAAGCTTTTTCACACCAAACAGAGTCTCAGTACAATTTGTGCAATAACTTCCCATTCCACTCTAGCCCTAGTCCATTGTGGTTAGTAAGTGCCATCAAATCACTCCCAACTCATAATGACCCTGTACACGGTTTCTAAAGAGCAGCTGGTAGGTTTGGACTATCAACCTTGTAGGTAGCAGTACAGTACTTATCCTAGAGCGTCACACCAACCCCATTCGTGATAACCGCTAATCTACGTTCTGTCTCTCTGAGCTTGTCTATTCTTGATACTCCTGTACATGATGTCATATAACACTTATCCTTGTCTCTCCATCAGCACTGTTCTTAAATCTTACCATGGATCTCCATGTTTCCAAAATTTAAATCATCAACTAGTTCATCTTATGTGGCTCCTCAGTAGCACTAAATATAGTCAACTCTCTTCTCTAATCATTATCTTTTTTCAGCTTCCTAAACACTTATTTTCCTTGACCCTCACACTGACTTTCCCAGCAATTGTCCATGTTGGGTCCTCTTCCCTTACCTAAGCTCTCAGTACTATGTACCAAGCTCAGTCCTGGGTCCACTTCTCTCTTTCTGGCTGAATTCATTCATATTGATGACTCAGCATTTATATCTCTAGTTGTATCTATATTTTAGGTCTCAGGATTAGCATTTACTACTGTGTTCTAGACACCTCATAGTTGCTTTAAACAGTACTTAAAATTTGAGCCATCCTTTCTCTAAAACTTCTCTCAACTCCCAACTTCCCCATATCTGCAAATATATCAACTTATTCCTGGTAATGTATGTTATAACCCTAAGCTTAATTTTTATTATTTGCTTTACCCTCAAATTTACATCTAATCCATTAACTGGTCTCACTCATTCTGTCCCCACCTTTTCTCTAAACTATGCTCTATGCACTATTATACAACTTGGGACAAGCCCCCATCACAGCTACAACAGCTTTTGATTGGTTCCCAATGCTCCATCTTATCTCCCTTCAGTATGTTGCTGTTGTTGTTGTGAAGTGCCTTCAATCGATTCCTC